TGACAACGCATTCCACTTGAACAGCAAAACATATTTAAAACAGCGCGTCGCGTTACACTGCTTTTATCATACCGAATGTTTGAAACTTCGGCCTCGAAACCCTGCACTTACCAGCCAACTAGGCCGAAACAACCTTCATAGTACATTCCACGCGGCGGTGAGAATTAGTACTCAACACTTGAGTGCATTGTTGACCCGGCACCCACTTGAACTCATGAGCAGCCTGCTGCCAAAAGATACTTCAGACCAACTTCCAGGTCGGGAGATGCCTTGCCCGTGGCGTTGAACTGTGCGGGCGAATGTAGGGGAACAATGAAAGACAAAGCAAGGGCAATGGAGCCAGGATTAACATGCGTTGTAACACCTTGATTCATTAACATCAAGAAAGGCCCGAGGAGAACTTTACCATATGTTGGAAACATAGCCAGCTAGCTACATCGTGCATGTTAGCCTCAACTTCCTGGGTTGTGGAATCACCGGGTTTCCGCCTTGGGAGCCACATCAATTCCATCGCACCAGCCGGTGAAGTCCATGGGAGGCTCCTGATAAAAAAGAAGAAAAGGAAGCCTACGCTGTAGGCAGTTCATGCCAACTCAACTTCAAGAACTCGTAGTGCTCCTTCAGCAGCACCACAATGGGCTTTTTTGAGGTTGGCTTGCGAACCTCGTAGATGTTTGGTTGACAGGCCTCAACAAAGTCACACGATCAAATGCAGCAAATGCAGTGCCATCCAGTCATCCACAACTTTGACACAATTTCCTTTTAAACATATCAAAAGCATCGGACACAATTGATGACAATTACAATGAAGCTCAGCTGCAAAAAGCAACACTGCTTGCTGTGCTTCTGCATAGCTCCAGCCGCGTGAGCGCAAGCGCTCCTGGACCTGTAGAAACTGGACATGCCACCAACTGAACTGAACTGAACATTAATAGCAAACATTGTTACTACTAGTAAGGCACCTGTTACTACTACTAGCGTGGCACTTGTTACTAGTAGTAAAGGGCAAACTTATGCAAACCCTTGTTCTAGCTGAAATCTATAACATGTCGGAGCTGTTGTGCTGTTGGTGTTTGACATTTAGGGAAAGCCCCTCCAGGAGACTGTGCTACTTCTTGCAATTGTTTCAAAAACACCGGTGGACCATGTGGACCAAAGATAGGGAACCTCCGGCAGGTTGGGCTCGATGGCGTCTTTGTAGAAGCTGTCGATTACCTTACGCATGGTCTTCATGCGGACAAAGCCGATGGAGCGCTCCAAGCTCCTAGCAGGGCTTAAGAAACTACTGCTGAAATTCAGTGTAACTGTTTCTTACTTGGACCTTTTTGAAAATACTCGTTTGAGGCAACTGATGCGTTTGCTCCTTGTCTCTTCCTCTTCCAAGCTTGCCATCATACACCCGGTGGGCATGTTGCCATACCACTCATCAAATCCTGGCACCACATCTGAGCAATGTGTGTTGATGTGTGTTGAAATACTATATTATATACAATACCATCAGCCATGTGCCGCTCATGCTGCACATCGAACAAAACAATCTGGCACAAAAAGGGCTCTTGTGCAGTCTCAAGCACCTGGTGGTGGCTTGCGCAAGAGGACACACGGTGGCTCGCCGGCAAAGGGCGGAACCAAAAAGTATCGTGATGCATCCAAGGCACAAACCTTGCAAAAACAAGGGCAAGGCTTGGAAGGAACAACACGTGTTGCATCATGCTACATCTATATGGTTCTTCTTCTTCTTCTTGTCTGGCTGTTTTCTTCAAAGCACTTGGGACTTGGGGTAGAATAGAAACCACCTTCAGCTCGGGCACCGCTGCACCAGCACGCAGCTCATTGTTTGACCAAAGCTCAGAGGACTTCAGCCGGCGTTGCAACTGGCGAGTCCAAATCCCCAAAAGTCAAAATTTGTCCAATCAGGATAGCAAAGGTAGACATGGCCGGCGGCATAATGTTGCGCCCACGTCATGTTGAGATACTTTCTCACTTGAAGATTCAGCTCAGGAGCCTCTCCGAGAAAGGGCTTCTTTCGGTCCCTCAGCCGGAAGTGCTGGAGCTGGAAAGGTGGCAAGAGAGAAAGACAAAGAGAGAGAGAGAGAGCGCGTGCGCAATCAAACCGTTTATCCACCTTATCCACCTGCAAGTCATTTCTTGAACGGCTGCAACAAGTCCAGCCTGTACAGGCTCTCGACCCCAGACAACAAAGCCATCTTGAAACCTGAGTATCGAGATCTGGCACAGGAGTGAATCAAACAGCAACGAAGTTAACTTCTTCTGCTGAAGCTTTCACTGATTTCAATTCTTCCCGGTTTGTCACTGGTTGCCAACGTAGATTCAACATGAAGGCAATGTGTCATGTTCTGCCATTCTAAGATATGAACTTTCCCTTCAACACAGCAATTTGGCTTGACTTCCGATTTCATGCAGTTCCTATCTGGAACTTGCAGAGCAGTATATACACTTTCTTCATCTTTCGCCCTTTTCTTGCGTGTGATGCGTGTGATTGATTGTCATTCGTCATTCCAGCCAAGATTCGCTCCAAGCGCTGTGGGTTCTCCAAGGTCGGTGGCAATGGGAGTTGGCCTGGCGGCACATCAGGGAGAACTTGCTGAGCTTGCGGCAAAAAGCGCTACTCGAGTACTACTCGAGGAAGCAGAAACATCAATTGAATCTATATAATGGGTTGAAGAGGAAAGGACTGAATTGTATTGTCCAAACGTACGAATCAGTTTGAATTTGAATGCTCTCATAGTAAACCATGGTGTTGCGTGATGTGTACAGGTTCTGAGTGAGCCAGGTTGCAGCTTCTATAAAGAGAAGCTATTTAAGTTTAATTCTAATAGCTTCTTGTTACTACTAGTAAGGCACCTGTTACTACTAGTAGCGATGCACTTGTTACTAATAGTTTCTTGTTACTACCAGTAAGGCACCTGTTACTAGTTGCAGCTTCTATAAAGAGAGACATGTTCGCCCTTTTGAACTGAGACTTGGCACATCGCATTTGTCCAAAGTCCAATGTCTCCTACTTTGGGTGACAGTTGGATGCTTTACCTTGCCTTGTGGCCTGGCGTGGAGAGTCATATATAGGTTGTTGTTCCCATTTCTCATCAAACAATTGTACAAGCTATACATTCTTGCCAGACTTGGATGGCAAAAGAAACGGGCTCACATTCACCGACTCTACTGCTTTGACGTTCAACGTTCTCTGGTAAGCATTCATTCTTCAGCTTTGGCAGCAGGTGCAAGATCAGGCTCAGCTGTGTTTCCCCTTTTGCGAGCAGCTCGCTGCCGTGCCGAATTGCCGGCATCTTTGTGGAAGGTCATCTTTCTAGCAACACCCACTTCTGGAAGGTCCAAGAAATTGATGTCTTCTGATCTTCTAGCCTCAGTCCACTCATCGCCACTTTCAATAATCTCAAACTTGTCCTCCAAGAATCTGTCGGATCGCCAGGTTACCTTTTTTCCAAAGTGTTTCCTGATGGAAGACGTTCGAATCTGTTCGTCCTCACTAGTCTCCATATCCATGCATCCATCTGGCAACCTGAAAAGCTCCATCTGCTGCAAAGAGGGCCCATGGCGGAAGTTCCCTTTCCGCGCTATGCAGCATGCAGTAACCATGTCTGGACTTGGTCTTGGTCGAGGCCGCACATCAGAACCAGCCACACCACCCATGCAAGGCTGAAACAGCACCAAAGGAGAACATAAAAGAACCGAACGTCCACAAAGGAACGCTGTTCGATCTCTCGAGTCTGTCAATTCGGTGACACCAAGATTCACGTTCGCAACGGCCAAGTCTGCAAAGTATCTTTTACCTCCAAATATTGGCTACCCACTGAGCTGTCATCCCATTTGAGCCAAAGAAGGCAAATGCGATAGTGGGAACACACACACAACATAAATTACACAAACATAATTTGACTATGACTCATAATGAAATGTCCAACCGGTCTTGGGTCTACGTTCGGGCTAAGGTCAAGCTATTCCCAGTTCTTTCCTTTCAGGGACCTTGCATGAATGTTGACAGTGACTAAATTTTAAGTGTAAATCTGAATTATGTGGCCGCTTGCAGTCCTCCACCAAAGAGAAAAAGGAACCCACAAATCTCTGCAACATATGATGTCAATGCAGGAGTTGGGAGACACATGTGGAGAAATACGTATGATTCTGCCAGATCTGCAAGGTCTATCCAGGATTTTTTGTTACATGCAAGGTTTATCCGGGCGATGGTTTGTGCTTTCTTGATGGATCTTTGCTTCGCTTCAAGACTTGAAGTCATTGTGGCCATATCCAATGGAGGTCTGGAAACAATCTTACACGGTGAAAGAACAAAAGGACCAACAGCTGATCGGATTTGCTGGGTGGCTGACGCAAAGTGGCACTGAAGCGCTCAAGCTCGTGAAGCTCTGGCATGGCTGAAAGGCCTCCACTTGAGGTTCATCCGATGAATATACGGGTGAACAAGGGTTCAACATTGGCACAACAGGCTTAAACCTTCTTTTTCTACTTATTGGCCAGGGAGCAATATTTTTCAATATTGATCGCTCGAAGCTCAAATCATCCACCATGACGTCAATCAAAAATCAACATATTCCACTTGCAAACCAACACCTCCTGTTCGGCTCAGGAGCCGGCTGTGTGACAAGTGAACAAATTGTGGGAAGCTGCAGGCCAAACACTGCGATGTGAATCTTTGGCAGAACAGACCCGCGCTTTCAGAAGATGAGCCAAGAAGAAACAAACAACCACAAACAATAAATCCTCCATCCTTTGCGATTTAGTGAACAGGCTACATGCGGCTACAAGGAAGTGCAGTGGCTTTCTACTCAAAAAACACTATGTGCTGTGTATACAACTGTGTATAATATAGTGTACATATATATATTATATTTATATATTAATATATAAATGTTCTTGAAGTAAGACTCCACTGTGGCAAATGTCCAACTCACAAACTTGCTGATCAAGACCTCAAGACCACAGCCCCAACAAGCTCTGCCCCTGGCGCAAGGGTGTCAGGCCATTAGAGACGGCTACTTCTGGGTCCTGCAAAGAGAAAAGGGAGGATGCTTCTCATATTTACAAAGCCAGATGGCATGAACAGAAGTTCTGCCCACACTCCGGGCTTGAACATGTTCATTGCACTGTCCTTCGTGTTCCCTGCCCAGGCATTGTAAAGCTTGATCATGTCGGTGAGAAGCCACTGCAAAGCAACACGGACTTCCGGCAGGTTGAATGACAGCGGGCAGGGGTTGATGGAACCAATCATCTGGGGAACGTGGATCGATTGCTTTGCTTTGCATGTGCTACAACTCCTACCTTCTGACTTTTGTCGTCACAGCCATCGGCACCTTATTGTTGCTTAACGATGCTCAATGATGCCGAACGTGGAATGGTGTGGATACACACACATATATATATATACATATATATATATATAGTGTAATGCTGGTTCTTGCTGTGGTATTCTATGAAACTGGAAATGATTGGGTTCAAGCCTGAAGCAGACATGTGCACACACACACACACACACTTAGAATGACAAACGCGTTGTACCAGCCAAAGATGAAGAGGGGCGCACCACACTGCTGCACAGGGTCAGGATCAGGATGACCCCGTTGTGCCCCGAGCAAAGCCAGGATACAAGGCAGGCCTAAGAAAGGCAAAGTGCAAAGGGACTTGCCCAAGCGGTAGTGTTACACCTGCGTTCATTGGAAAAGAACTCACGAGCGCCAGGCTGTTCCGACTATGGTTGCCAAGATGGTGTCCCAGGCAGTCGGCACTGGCACCCTCCAGCTCTGGAGCAAACCAACGTGGGGTCGATTACCTTCCTTCATTTTATTAGCCTACTTCTACTTAACATACTTAATCAAGCAGGCGTCCATTAAAATTAAGGGAGAAGTAAGCTACTAGCAATAGGAAGCTCTTAGCTAGGACGCAGGATGGCTCACGCTTGTTCAATTCAAAGAAGGGCCGGGGGGAGCAATGATCATTTGGTTCCTAGATGTTTAGGGAAATATATAACATATAGGATTGTCATAGATTCTCGAGGGAGTTTCTTTGCATTTTCTTCGGACGTAGGGCTATGTCTCAGAATGCTACCAAGCCGTCTTCTGACAAGAAGCAAGAGCAACATCACTTTAGAATGACACTTCACTAGCAACTCTGTTCAACTCTTTTGGCTTTGTCGATCTTTGTTGCATGCCTTATCATGCATCCAACAATTTGTAAAAATTGGCTAGAAACTGCTAGCGATGGCCTCCAACCTACTAGCAATGGCCTCCAACCTAGTAGCAATGGCCTCCAACCTAATAGCAATGTTATGGACAATATGTCTCAAAAGCGAAACTGACGCATTGTCTGAATTTAGAACTTGCTGCTCGCGCGGCTTGTCTTGGCTCGACATGATTCGGCCACAGCTTTGGCCTGGGAGCACTAGGTCAGTAGGAAGGACCAAAGGGCCTGGAATCTATTTCCCAGACTTTGATAAATTGAAAGAACATTGAACAGTTTTAGAACCTGTTAGCATGAAGCACCAAGTATTCACTAAGGTTAGCAAACTCTGGGCCAAACCATCCTTTGCATCATTATGTCACACAAGGTACAGAATCCATGAAGGGTCAAACGTTCTGCACATCTATCACAATCAAGCCGTGCTTTGTTCCTGATGCGTAGAACAGCTGCTGTTGCAACAGCCAAGCATCTCCATTTCCATTATGGACATACTTATTGCACTTTGTTGCAGCCATTCTGGTCATTCCATCAGAATTATATATATATATAATTACTTGGATTCTGCTCTGTCATTAACATGATTTGTAGCAAGGCAATTAGGCACTGGCACAAATGAAGAATGGTTCGTTACCTGGCACAATCAACCAAGATTAGGAAGTGCTTCGCTAAACAAGAACATCTGCAAGCCGGAAAGCTGAGAATGAGTTGCTGCACCAATTGACCAAGCCACAATGAACATGGCGAAGTGTCACACAAACACGAAAAGCTTTACGCCCTGGCTGCTGTGGCCTTGCTTCAGTGGCTGGAGACTCCATAAGGTGAAAATTCTATATGGCTCCCCAGCTGCAAAAGGAGCCCAGCAGAGTTCGGGCAAAGCACAGGAGCAAGCATCACAAATCAACTGTATATAATGAGCACACCGTGCTTGAAGCGATTGCTCTTGAATCCGCTTGAATATTTGCGCACTGTCCCTTATTTCAGGCTTGCAACCTACCTCGAAGTCAATCCAAAATCCTCACAGCGCATTGGCTGCTTGGGACTATGTGCTGTCACTTCACCTGGGCTGACGCTTTAGTACTAGGCAGTAATAGTCTGACTCATCCTCCAAGAACTCAAGAGCAAGCTCTGGCACCTCGATAGGGTTCGATGTTTGATGCAACAGGGTGAGACTCCACACATGCCGAGATTAAACCGGCAAGACTCTTTCTTGAACTGTCAAAATGGGATGCTTGTGTTGAAAAGGGATTCCCAAGCCATGCCTTCTTGTACCACTTTCTTCCATTTCTTTCCACGTTGATATGGAAAGGATTTTAGCTCGGAGCCGTCACCCCCGCTAGTAGTAACAAGTGCCACGCTAGTAGTAACAGGTGCCTACGGTGAAGTATCGAACGGACAAGCATCCTGCCTGCCTGGGCAAGCATCTGCTTTAGTTCCTCGCTTCCAGGAAGATCGTGAAGGACCTAAAGCAAAGGCAAAAGCTGCTCCCATTCCTCACTTTCTTGCCGTGCAATTGCTGCAAAGCTAGAAAACAACATCATGCACATACCAGGAGATATTCGACCTGCCGAATTCATAACTGATTGTAAGGGAACAATGATAGACTTTGCATCTCTTCACATAATGTGATTACTTATATACATCAATTTACGTTTCTCACTTTCAGTGCTATGCTGAATGGAAGTGATTATGCTGAGAGCCCTGGCCATGCGTGGATCCTTTTCCTTTAAAGTTGTGAGCCACGCCCGCCCAAGAGGATGGCTGATGACCTTGCGGTGCCACAAGGACCAGCTTGAAGAGGTTTCTGCTAGAAGGTCTGAGGTACTGTAATTGTTGCTGAAAGGAACCCAACAACTCACCTCACATGAATGACACAATATACTGAAAGTATAAGCCGGAATTCCTTGCAATGCACCTGTTGGTGGGCTTGAGGAACTTCGCTGGGTCAACCAAACTCCTTGAGACCTCCTTACCCGACCCATGCAAGCTAGACCTGACTTGGCGTCCGTACCACAAGGCCACCATCAGACAAAAGCTTCTGTGCTACATGCTTGAGTACTGCTACTGGATCATAGAGGTTTCCAAAGCAGGCATTGAAGACCTCAACATAGAATGATGAAAGAATCCAATCAGCCACAAACAGCTTGCGCGTCTGTCAGAAAACATGTACATAAGGTCAGTGCGACGCGGTCATAAGGACCACCTTCAAAGTGAAGCACATCATCCTGGACAAATCTTGCCTGTGGGAATCCTCAGTTTGGCACTCTCACCGTCCAATGTTGTTGAATTTTGTCCTGGATTTGCTGCCAAAAGGCGCTCCCTTGCGAAGCCTAACATCCCAGCTGAGAGGTCAACACCAGTAATTTGCGCAAGATCACCTCCTGACTCTTTGAAGAAGGGCAGCAGTGCACCTCATTGAGGGGTCGCAAAAGTTTCAGTGATATGGTTGGTCGAGTCATGCAGCAACTCGACAGTTGTCTTTGGAATATTAAACGATATGATTTTAGTGCTCTGAAAGTGAAAATATAGCTCAAGCAGCAACACACACTCACTAGTTTTTCCACGTTAGAACATACATATACATCTAGGGCTTCACAATGAATGCTCCCTAACCCAGCCTGTGCCAGTTCCGACGTCAAGCAAAGTTGTCCTTTGCATGGATCCAACTGCATCAAGGTTCAACGATGTTCAATGGAAAAAAGCACTTGGCTCAAGCCCTGATGCCGCAACGAAGGCCGAATAAGTAAGCATCACTAAGAACCCATTGCAACGGAAACCGAGACAGCATCTTGCAAGAATTACTCTTAATATATCTTAGTATCATATCAAATGTTCCTTTATCATTCAAATCGTTTGTCCTTTCGCATCCAATTTCTCCCAGTGGCTTCGACTCAAGGCTGCAACTTTTCGCAATCCGCTGTAAACGCGGCACCACAGCGGGAGGCGTGGCAGTAGCGGAGGCAAAGAAGTCAGATTTCTCGTCAAACACCTCGCACATGTTTCAGCTATGTAAACAGGGTTGCACCAACAATAGTGTCAGTGTGCTATTCAATCTCACTGTAAATTGTGGCATATTGTGGAATGCTTCAATGAAACACAAACCAGGACCAAAGCAAAGCACTCGACTTTGCAACGTCGTTCTTTGAATGCCTTTCTCTGGTAGGCATTGTGCTCCGACGGGGTGTCCATGCGCAAGGGCCGGGCCGCAAATCCCTGCACCAGGTCGGCATATAACATGGGCGCTCTGAGCAAAGGTTGAAATGGGATGAAATTACATGGGAATTGAATAAAGCTAACGTAAACTTTACCTAAGCAATGTAAACTGTACACATAGCCTTTTGAAAAAGGCCTTATTGATCCTTATTGTAGGTCTCCCAAGTCTTGGCCATGGCCTTGGCTTTACACTCTTGAGACTTAGAACAACAGCGTCTTCAGCGTCTACTGCCCCTTCCTTCACTCTAACGTAACGAAGTCTGGGAGATGTCTGAAGTTTTCCCGGTGCAAACGATATGAGCGCTTTGTAAAGAGAGAGCAGTTGCAAATTCTTCAAGGTGCCCCCAAGTGCCAATGAAGTATGACAGCTGAAAATGCTACAGATAACTACTCAGTCCTACGTTTCTTTGAGCTAGAGCTGCCTGAGAAGGTTGTGAAAGCACGCTCTTTGCAGCTGTCAATGCCTCAAGTGGTCAGAAACAAGGCTTTGATCTCTGGACTACCATTCTGTCAGCTTCTAACGGAATATGAGTTGATATTTGAGTGGCAATCATTGGCTGGCTTGCTTCGAGGAAAAAGGTGGAAAAGTAGCTGTGCTGCTGTTGGACATCCAAAATGGAAACTATTGGGAACGTATGCACATACTGGCACCTTTGGGAAGCCAAGTGCTCATCGGTCATTTGCAGCAAAAAGTCTATATATTACTGTATACATTGTATACTCTATACTAAATAAATAAGTTGTTCTACATTTTGCCAAATTGTCGTCTCAAGCATGGCAGCTTGATTTTGACTCGATTTAAACTAAATATACTAAATTTGCTGATCTCGGCGCTGCATAGGCCACCAATGCACGACGGGCAGGGACAATTGCCACCCGATTCATAAGCTACTTCACACAGCTCGGGTTCTTCAGGACTTTTCTTCAAAACCTTTCTTGTTGCCTTGAACAGCTCGCCTGATCCTTTGCCAAGGAACCCAAAACCTTCTGGTCTGGAATCTTGATTCGGGATTGCACAGCAAGCTGAATGCATTACTCTCGTCAGGTCTGAGCCAAAAAGCTGCAAATAGCATCTGTGAGCTGCGAGGGCTGCGGGCTCCAGACCATGCGAGACCAGTCCTTTTAGGCCTCACCCTTCTGAAAAGCGCTTGCTCCCTTCTCATTCTGCGCTGGCTGGTGTACATTGTGAAAGTTGAAGTAAATCAAAGGCGAAACAAAGTATCCATTGAAATTCAAAGGCTCCAAGACATTTGCAAAAGCCATTCCCGTGGCAGACTTCTCTCAAAAACGCCGGCCATGCCGAGAAACACGAAAACCAATGCAGGAGTGCTAGCTCCAAATCAAGATCAGTCATCGTCTGCAGCGGCAGTCACATCCGCTGTCAATGTATTCATAGCCTCGTCTGCCTCACAGTCATAGTCAATAGCATTTGTTTCGATCAAGGCCTTTAGGTGGAAGCATGTTGGATGAAAACACAATCGCCAAAGCAGTCTACAGCTTGTCAAGTCCGCACACATACAATAAACACATCCACAAGGGCTAGGGAAGGTCTGCTCCGGGAAAAGTGGATCCCGTTTGGACTTCTCTGGACCAACCCACCTCTGGACGCATCATCTCCACACCAACATCATCTCCACCATCGCCATGCAGCTCCATCAACCTAGGACGATGCGGAAGAGTCAACAGGCATTGAACGCAAATGCTTGTCCTAATCGAGGCAGGCTTGTTTCGATTGAGAAGCTTGGTAATGTCAAACTTTGGCTTCTTCATGATCTTGACCTTTCGAATCATGCAGTCCTTGAGAGGGAAAATACCCTTGCACTGCTTCTCAATCTCTTTCCCAATCACTTCCGGGATCAGCTTTTTGACCTTGTACAAATCGCTGGGGTGGTTGGAAAGTCACAGGATTCCAACATGTTGCTGAAATTACTTACATGTTAGCAGCTTTCAAAACGCTTGTCAGAACTATTTGGAGAGCCAATCCTGGGCATGCTTACTGCAAAGGAAAGAATCACTCGCCATGGAATGAATCAATGCTGCTGCTACAGGACTTTCATATTTGTATGCACATCCACAAGTCAAGCAATGATCAAATTTGGGAAGCCACTAGTTCCCGAAGCTGACACTTCGCGGCCTCCTTGCCAAAGGGGAACCAAGAACATTGCTTCAAGTCTGACTGACTTGACATGTGTCTGGTGTAGATGCACACATGTGTTGACAAGGTGGTGCCAGAACGGACTGAGCTTGAGCATCACGATTGTCTGAGCTTCTTCACTGATTTCTAGATTCTAGAACATGTTTTCAAATTGCCACTTTGCCCATCATAACTTATGTATCGGCTTTGAGACAGTCTGCCTGCACAATTTTTGAGACCCCAAACCCCTATATACGTGGAATATCAGGCAAATGCTCACCACTTCTTTCCAATGGCTTCTTCTTACTACTAGTAGCGATGTCCTTGTTACTAGTAGCTTCTTGCTCCTAGTAGTAAGGCCAGGAGCTACTAGTAGCTTCCTTGCTCCTAGTAGCGATGCCCTTTGTTACTACAACTTTTCTCACCTGTGGTTTTAAAGATTCCTTTGCAAAGTCGTCTGCTAAGGACTATACTTATTTAACTAGTTTACAACAGTAAGTTAGTTTAGAAGCTTCTCCCAAAACCACAGACCATTACTGAGGTGTTTGCAGCAGCGCTCAGTGCTCGCCAAAATTGGGTGTGCTGTGTATGTTGATGAGTTGCATTCTGGTTTCTGAAAGCATTCTTGAAACATATTGAAAGCGTAGGTTGAGTCCAAGTTGGAGCTCCCCATCTCCTGACTGGCTGGCGGTTCCTACCTCACCACTGCTGTTTGAGCTGGTGGTTTGCATGAATGCCAATGGTTTGGTGCATCTGGTCTTCTGCCCCTTCTCTGGGCATGACCATGAGAAGCATTTCAGTTAAGTCGGCACAATGCTTTAGCCAACTCTGAAAAGAAGGCATGCCCACGAGCGCTTTGTACAAAGCATCATGGAGAGGTTTTCCTTACTCAACCTATTCTATTCTCTGCTCGTCAGGAGCCAATGTATGGTAGGTTTACAATGTGGGCGGCGCAGGATATGTCTGAGGGCGCAGGAGGCTTGTGGAAAACTATGGAAGCGGCGGCACACAAAGCACAAAACAGTCTTTTGGACCAAACCCTGTGAATTTAAAACAAAGGGGATTATGCAGCATCTCCTGCGTCATGATCTCCGTCATCTTTCGCCGGATTTTTCGAATTTGTGCAGACTGCGCATAGCAGTTGTTCTTCACTTGCCCGGCTTGTCGAGCGGTGAAAGCAATACAAAACCTTTGTAACACACCAAGTACAAGCTTCATCAAAACGACAAGTTTAACTGCTTGTAAAGGATTCTCTCTGTGCTGAGTCATGAGCTGAGTTTCTACTGGATAACTACACGAAGTCACGAAGTGTCCGATAAAAATATGCACACATATGCACACAGGTTCTTGAAGGGGATGACTAAGATCAATTGTGTAAGCTCCCAACATGATCATGAATCATGGGTTTGTTCAAGTGTTACCCTCTCTTGGGTTCAAGTAGCATCCGCACTACATAGTTGTCACTGGTCTTCACGTCAACCTGGGCTTCAATGAGCGTCTGCCACTTCCTTGGTTCAACACATCATATCCACGTAGTTGCAGTTGATTTACAGTATACCATTGGTCAGCTTGTTGACAGAAAGACTCAGAAAGACCTCATGTGAGTCCTACAAATCAAACCTATAGTAATATAGTATCATAGTATCGTTGGGAACAGGACTTTCTAGGCCCGGTCCTGACATCAAGTCCCTCACATACCGGAGCTGCCCTTTGGGACTGCTCACACCAGCGAGCAGAATTTGAATTAGCTCAATAGCATAGAACCGCCGTGTGCACTGGGCACATCCTGGCTTTTCTTCATTTAATGGATAGAGGATCATCTCATTCGTGTACACTTCTTCTTGCGTTCATGGCAGAGCCAGCACTCAAGGAATGAAGGTGCTTGCAATTGGAGTAATTGTGAATTGTTACATAGGTTTGGGTCAGAACAAGACCCCGGGCCGGCTTGGACATTGAAACTGCCGCCCAAGGGTCAGTGTGTACACTGTACACCCCGACAGAGACATATATGTTTTAGATCCGAGGCATTGTTCTATCTGTGGATTTGTTACTCTTGCCAGGCCAACTGGGGACGCTCTAAGTATCGAGTATAGATTCAGCATCATCTATATATATAAGTGTTCACTTAGAACGTTCACTATAATATATATATTTTTTATTCCTGGTAGCTGGTACAAGTAGCCAAGTGATTTCCACACTATAAACGAGGAGCTTGATGAGCGAGCAAATCTTGTCTCGTGTCAGCTGCATGCCATGGAAGTCGGTCAGGCAGCTTCTGCCTTGAACCTCCTGCCACGTTTTCTTTCACTATCCTTCTCTGCTGTTTTTTTTTTTAAAACTTGCTTAAATCTATAAATTCCGTGCCAAACCTCAATGCAAAGCCGAATTTTCTTCGAGGATTGGTCTTCGTCGCTGTTGAGATCGGCCAAGTTCACCTGCACAAACGAACAACATGTGCTCGTTGTGTCGGCTCAAGCCCTTCATTTCAACTGGTATGGGTTTTGCCAAAGAGAGTTGGATGGTCACGACTGTTGCAAGAAAGTCTGGGACTGCAACCGCCAGGAATGGAAAGCACGGATCTGTAACTCCACAAGTCAGCTGATCCGAGTCGCCTCGTTCGTTTGATTCATGGTCCATCAGAATTATCCTTATATTAGCAAAGGATAAAACAAACAAAACAACGCTAAACAATGAAGGTGTTTGGGGCCCCAAAGGGTCCCTTAAACAAACACTGTCTTGTGTTTGTCTCTTTGTTATATTATATATATTGTGTATAAATGAATTCATATATAGATTATGGAGAATTTGTATTTTCCATAAATGAAACACAATGTTTATGAGATTTTTTGCCAGCCAGAGATTGGAAATCAATGACTTATATAATTGTTTGTTGTTTTTTGGTTGTTTTTTTGCTGTTTGCATTTGCTGTTTTTTTGCTATCGTTATTTTGTTGTTATTTGTTTGGCATTTTGCATTTGCATTTTTTTGCGTTTTTTTGGTATTGTGGATTTTGCTGCCTGATGCCTTTGTTGAGGAAAAGTGTTGTTGTTGAGTTGTGGCTTTGGTGGGTGATTTCAACAGTACGTCCTTTGTGTTTGTTGCTGGTTGCCTTAAAGCGTGTTTGCATCCGTTTGGTTTGTTCTTTGTGACAAAGTCAAATTGAATGAACTCAAGTTGAAATCAAAAAAAAATCAACTGCGGCTCCTCCCTATGAACCGCTGTGTGGTTCCGTGTGCCGGCCTCCAACACCCGACCTTTCAACTCCTCTGTGGCAATCTTTGTACCTTGCGTCCTGGACACCAAGGTTTTACCTCAAACATCGGCGGTGAGGAACACCAAGTGCTTCATTCGAATATCAATGAACCCTCAACGGCACACCAAAGAAGCTGGGTCTGTGGCCGCAATTGCGCTGGGTGAACCTCGGTGTCGCGAGTAAGAACAACATCGCATGGCAAGCAACCAGTTGCTTCTCTTGTCATTACCGCAAAACAAAAATTATTGTGCCATTGAGTGGTTATGCTCTTGTTAATTTCCGGCCAGCAACATACTTGGAGCCTTAATGTCATACCATTCCTTTCTGAGAAATGGATCACCAGCCTTCTTCTTGCCACCCTTTTTGCCTCCTTTGGTGAGGCGCTTGTTTTTTCCAACGGCCATGAAACAAAGCGGGCAGAATGCTCTTTGTAGATCTGCACACTCGAACCAATTTGGCCACTTGCGTAACGCTTTGGACATCAATCATTGATGTGCTTGACCTTCTTTGATATGCTTCAGCTTCACACCGATCGCAAGCACCTCTTAGATACAAGACAAATTGAATATCAAAGTTATCAGAATATAGAAAATGACCGAGTAAATTTGAACAGAACACTGAACTCCAATTGCCCCTTACAAAGTGTCACTTTGACCAAATCCAATGTCTTCTTGACAATTTTTTGACTATGTACTTGCCGCTATCTGTGTAATTGATTCTGCAAAAGCCCGTTCCTTGGCTTTCTCTGCCGGCAAGCCCTAAGACCGCCAGTGTACCGGCAAGGCCTAGGAATAGTCTTTTTTACAAAAGCCTGTCCCGCACAATCTGGCATCCCTCAGCTGGACAGTGTGACAAACTTAATACGCAGTTAATTACTAAGGACAGTAAATACTGCAAAATTCCAAATGACTGAATTCTGACATAGTGCAAATTCTATGTCTTAATTTCAACTACCATGCAGCGTGCATCTCGAGGCTCTGCTCAAGTATTCAGTCAGTTGTTCAATTTTTCAACGAAACGCCAGCAAGAGTAGTCGTTCACTTGTGCACTGGCTTCGATTCCAGCACTCCGGGTCCAAATTTCACACCGTCCGAGTCTATGATATTCGACACCCGTGCAATTTGATGCTTCTCTGCACTTGCGCTGGCAATCTTGCAACGTTGGTAGAGCAATCAAAACAGTGAAGTAGCGGGCAGAATTGTCGGAAGGGGATGAACCTCGACATACACGATCCCATGCTCCATCGACTGGCTCAAACTCTCCGGAGCGAAGTGGAATCGGCTCGGTGGGTTCAGCATAGCTAAGGCAAGTGAAGCCCGGCAAAGACTTGCTACTTTGGACGCCGTCTGCCCTGGTCCAAAGCTCACAACGTCTTCCAGAATACTCGACGCCAACACAAGTGGTCATAGCTTCACACATGTTCTGGCACACTTGCAAAGACAATGCCTTTTGAACAGAATAGTAGCTCTCTGAAATATCATGTGGGCTACTGCCTCGACAGGCTCTGTCATCTCCTCCTTCAACTGGAAGCCACTCTTTTGCTGAGGCTGAGCTTGTGGTCGGCATGGCTGTGCTGGTCGTTTGAGAACGGCAGGAGGTTCCAGTGGATACTGGCCATGAGTCAAAGCACTCAAAGGTCACGAAACTACCTCCTTCAAGTTCAATGTTGAAGGAAGCAAATGCTCTGCCACCAGTCTGGCCTGCTGTACTTGCAGACCATGTGGCCCCACTTACTCCGCTCATTGAAAAGTTTTTCCCCGCCCAACACCACTGCAGCATGCAGCACACCTCGGGGGAGGTTTGAGAAAATCACTTTGGTGTACCAAGCGTTGCTGCCATCGAGCACGGTGACAACTGGTCCACCCGAAGAGACTTCGCAATCCACTGGCTCGTAATGAATTGGGAATACCCCAGTGGAAGCTCCTGTGATGATGTTGAAAGCAGTCAGTTGACAATCAAATGTCTTGGCGGATCCTGAGTCGACAATCTGCACTACAAGGCTACCAGCTCTTCCTGGATCTGTCGCTGGACTACCGTCATAGGACACAAGCCAGCATGAGCCACAAGCTGCACCACCTGAGTACAATGCATCATCTGCTGCGCAATACGTCCGAGAAGCCACGTATGGGCTGCTGGCAGCTGGTGAGTTGATTCCTCCATTTCCAGAGTTTGCATATTCGCAAGAGCCTCCCACAATTGTGGTGGAGCTGTCTGACCACATTGTCATCATACCAGCCAATGACAGCCTTTTAATATTTCCACCATGCTTGCCAATGAGCTGGCGCGCTTGGAGCATGAGTGGGCCATTTGTGCAGGACGAGGTATTTCCTGGACACACAGCTGCATTGGCAAATGTCCAGCAAATAGCGCTAGTGACCAGCCACCCCACGCGTCCTGAGATCATCAACTACCAAGTAGGACTAGTGACTGGCTTTCCTCCGCTACATTGCACAACCTGACAAAGCCGAGTGCAACTGCAGGATTACCATGCACAAGCGCGCGGACTTTCGGACCCTGTAAATACGTAAGGGTTTTTAGGTGTTTTTAGATGGGGTTCCGGTGTTCCCTGAAGTCATTCACACTTCAACTCAATCGGATTGAAGATTCGAAGTGTATAAACAGGCAGCTTGCAGCTACACATAACCACTGATTTAGCTCTAGATTCTGAGAACACTGGTGCAGCTTTGTACTCAAGCAAGTCTTTCAGACTCCGAACCTGACAACGGGTCTACTTTAGGGCTGCCAGGGAACTTTGGAAGTGAAACGCTTCAGACTTCAGATTCTATCTTCAAATTGTAAAGACAATGCTACCAGCCTCTCAGCTGTCAGTTTTCTGAAGAGATGATGCCTAGCGTAGAGCCTCAGCCACTGAGGAGGTTGCGCAAGGTGACCCTGTTAGAAAAGACTGCATAAGAACAAAACAGTGTGAGCTTGGCTATGGAGGCAGCAAATATCTTTTAATGCGAGACATACATATGCAGCATATCATGCATCGAGTTCTCAAAGCCTAAGACCAGCCCAACAGTACAGTATCACTGTAAGTTCATCACTCGCCACTCCACACCGCCGCAACGAGGGCCTTGTTGGAATTTTGGCGCACAATCTTTCCCACAGTGTTATGTTCTCTGACGTGGCTATGAATACAGTTGGTTACAAAAACAATTGTACTGAGCGGTGTAAGTGCCCGGCAGCCAATCTTGCCACCAATTAATATGTCACGAACCTGTGCTTCATGTCTGGGGCGAACACTAATTAGTAAATGGTGCTATACGTACAGTTAGAGACGAATAGATAAACAAACAAGAATATCTGAATATCCATTGTTGACTTGCTTGTAACAGGAACAATACAAAATCAAACCACCAAACGTAAATAACATCAGTTCAGTAAGTAGTGGTTCAGTAAGTTGTTCCCTCTCGGTACAAGGGGCGCTGGTGTTCTACCTCCTTTCAACTTTCAACATTGTTTTTGTCATATCAGGTCCATTGTGTTCGAGTAAGGCTGTTGGATGGAAGGCATCAGACTAGAGTCTCCGGACATTAAAAAATGCTTGATCAAGAGTGTGGTGCTGGTGTTTACTTGAAAGTCAAAGTGATAAAAAACGATAAGCACAACTGAACCTCAAAAACACCTTTACTGTATATATATAAATCAAACGAACTGCGAAAACATGCCATTGTTCAATTGACTTGACAAACCACACCCAGCATTACAAATACATGTTGCACACGCCCATGAACAGCAAATGTGTGCTAAAACTGGTGCGGCAAACCCTCTCAAAGACAATCCAAAGCTGGGTCGAAGTGACTTCTTACGAACCAATACGACTTTGACTTGAACCATACCCCAATACATATCATGTTCATAACTCTTTATGGCTCTCTTTATGCCCTTGCCAGTTATGCATAGTTATGCAACTTAAAAGAGCTGGGTATATTATATTGAGTTGCTTTATGTTGCTTTGGGACAAAGCCGCACCCGACCAAAAGCAGCAGCTGCCAGTGTCACCCTTCATGCTTGGAAGTTCTTATGCTCTGCATTGCAACCTATTCAAGCCACGGCCTGTGTAGTACTATTCGGAGGTAGCTGTTCTTGTGTTTGATATTGCTTTGATTATGTCTTGTTTGATATCAGCTCGCAGCCTTGAAAGAACCACTCACCATCTTTTGCTGGAGCCACAATGGAAGCGCTCGAACCAGGTGATTCACCCCCCAGTGGTCGGTGCACATATTATTGATGTCATATGTACCCGAAAATCAAAAACATCCCAAAGCAACAAAAGCAGCAAGCAGTCTTTTGTCGTAGTGCTTTGAGAGATGCATGGGTCCTCCCCAGACCCCATCCGTGATGGTCACCTTGCGACCGTTCCACAAAAAAATCAGGGTGTGGCAGGCAGTTACAATCACCAGCTCAGGCCTGACACACCCGTTGCCCCTGCTCTCCGTCCAGGGCCGGCGGCGCCTGTCAGGAGACCAGGGGCCCGGGGTCAGGAGGACTCCCACCGGATCCGGTCATGGGATCTTGGGTGGGAAGCTAGGAAAAATTTGTACTCGACAAAAGGCGAGGTGCTAGGGAAAAGGAAAAGAGAAATTCCGGAGCCGGTGCCCGGCGTTCGGGGGAGAATCCCTGAAAGTCTGGATGTGTGAGTTCATCCGCCCACTGCAGCCCTCACGGCATCAGAAGGGCCGCGGTGTGAGGCTTCTTGGATGAAAGGTTCAGCAGGCTGAAGATGTTGCCGGAGTTGTCACTGCCAACAGGTAATCGGACCCGACCAGACCTCATGCCCTGTTGGGCGATCAGGTGTTTGCAGAGTAGCAAGGTAATGAGTAGTTTGAGGGCAGCAATGCGCATCTGGGGGGTTCCATCCTGCCCAGGAGTGCTTGTCGGGCAGGATCTGGTAGTGGAACCAGTAGGCCCTTGGAGGGGTGAGGGTCTTCGCTGCACCATCCCCCCAGCCGGGCGGTGTGGCCCCTTGCTGGTCTCCAGTACTTCATCGTCCAAATCTTCTCTTGGTGGGCAATTGCCCGCAGCGGGAGGTACTGCTCAATGATCCTGGTCACCAAAGGGGTCGAAAGTGGGTACCCCGTGAACTGGCCGAAGAGGTCTGCCATCTCCTTCTCAGTACAGAAAAGGTTGGCCAGGTGCCCTGCTATCGGCGGGAACGACGTTGGGAACATGTCGAACCGCAGGTGGTTCGGAGGGTCCTCAGCGACGGAGAACCTGATGGGCATCGGGACAGAATGGCTGTCCACTCCTTCCCCCGAGTGAAGCCAGGGAGTGTAGGCGCCTTTGATGAAGGCGTCCTCCATTCTGCCGGTGGAGGCCTCTTGGCAGGCCGTGGAGGCTTAGGTGCCTGGCTGCCTGGAGGGGTCGTCTGCCCCTGTCCCTGGAATCCGCTGCGTCT